TCGTGACTATTACAGTTCGCGAGCAATAATCATGTGGAAATCAAACCTGCATCACGCGTCTCGAAAAACCCTATCGAAAGATTACAAATCTCGCGGCGCTTCTCGCTGAAATCATCTCTTCGGAGAAAGATACCGCTTTACGATACGAAAACACACACAGATATATTTAATAATAATAATTGTTATGTTTCTTTTAAACCTTTTCTTCGATAGCTAACATCAGAGAATGAAAACGCGTGTGGTTTCAAAAAAGAGACATAACAATTATTTAATAATAATAATAATTGTTTTGTCTTTTTGAGCCGTCGAAAAATACAGAACCTTCTCTGGTAAGAACGCCGAGCTTCTCCCTCGATATACTGCAAGTATCGAAATTATTGCACGGTTTCGGCCTTCGTTATGTCTTGTATCGGTAAAGTATACCGCCTTGCCGTCCGTTATATACCGAATCTGGTGCATCCAGATTACATCATCGTTGTGGTATATGGGTCGTTAGTCGATGCGCATAATCTTCGATCGCAATCGTGGCTGTTGGCCGATTATACCTGGCCTGCTGGCGTATCGATCCTGCCGGTCGATACCGAGATCGGATTCGTATCTCGGGATGATCCTTGCCGAGCGCAGACGGCTGCGAACCAGAGGCACAATTGCGAGCAACCCAGTTTCGAGAATGAATGGCAAATGAGCGCACCGGAGTTCCTAAGCGAGCCGCGCCGCCAGCTCTGCTGGGGGAAGTCTTAACCCTTTCGCCGCTAAAAACGACCGTAAACCGCCTGACGGATTACATTAGACTGGAGGAGTTATGAAAATGACTGTCTGCGGAATTAAAGGCCCCGGTAGAGCCCAATCCTTGTGGGAGCTTGCAACCGAGCAACCGTAGAAACGAGAGTTCGTCGCAAATTCATTGTTATGTAGACACGTGATCTTCGATGCCGAATGGCCTGCGGGACCTTTACAGAAGCGGAGCGCGACTCATCAATCGATCGATAGATAATTCGAGCATTTACAAAACGGAACTGCCTTGGCGTAAAGACGTGTTCGAACTTGTTCGATCTGTGATTTTTTGGAAAATATCTTTGAATTATTTCTAAAAAAACATCAAGGACCATCTATTAATTTGAGAATGACATTGTTAACATAATACACATTTTTTAAGCCGGGAGTATCGGTCATTTCCCCGTACTTTTTCGTTTTCTACTTATATCATCTAATCTATTGACATTATCGTATTTTCGCTTTTACGTAATTTCAATCGATAATAATCGATATAATTTTCTTTGATGTTTTCTTGTATAGCATGGAGAAGCAGACGCGCTTATTTCTATATGAAATTTGATACGTTTTTTGCAGTCGGTTTAAAAGACCATAGCGCGCCTACTAACGCTAATCTTTTATCTCTGCCGCGTCAGCGTCGCTCGATGTGCCGCCGAACGTCTATTGTCTTTCCGACATCGTAGTTGGACGACAGTTTTCTCTTTTTTTGTTAAATCAATAAAATTTTCAACAACACGCGTAATTGGAGTATATTTTCTTGATTCAATAGCGATATTATTAAAATTAATAGTTGAATTATTGAAACAATACATAATGTGATACTTTTAATATTGCCATTATATATATATATAAATCAAGAAGATTTATTCTCTATTTCTAAATTTATCAAGTAAATTTTTAAGCTTATTGAACCAATGTTTAAGTTAATCAAAGTAGAAGCAAGAAATTCTTATTTTATTTTATTAAACTAAAATAATGTCATTTTTTACTAATGCAGTTAAAATAAAAATATTATGATTTTATTTTTAATATATTCACATATGTATAATGAGTTTAATATGTTTCCTAAACATATTAGATATAGAAATGGTAAAAAAAATGGGAAAAAGAAGAAATAGTGACATAAAATTATTTCCTTCAATTATTATGTTTCTTTTAATAATTGGATTGGTAATTTATTAATTATTACTTAATTATTACACATATATGTGTTTAAATATATTTCGGTCGAAATGACCGATACGCGTCCACTCCCGGGTTAACGTTGAGTAGTGATGGAAGGCCTTATTAGGTGCCTACAGCTGTATATTGAAAGAGAGAGAGAGAGAGAGAGAGAGAGAGAGAGAGAGAGAGATCGTTCGATGCAAAAACGTTGTTCTTTTTTTTTTCTCTTTGCAGTCAAACATCATCACTCATGTGATTCTCAAACGATCGTACTGTCAACCGCTATTCGTGCCGACGCGGACACGACAAACACGCGCAGCTTTTGCCTCGCTTCGGCATCGACTCCGATCCGTGCCGTCACTTGTCGGCTTTTAAATATTATGATAATACCGCCGACGCAGCCGCTTGTGCTTATCCGATAATCGACGACACGTCGGCGGATTGCGCTCTTCGCTTCTTTCAAGTTTGCTTCGCGCAACACCGTGAGTCATTCATTAGATACGACCACCGCGAAGGCGGCTCGTCTAAGGCATGGTTGCACCAACATTATTTTGGCTTTAAGCGAAACTTAAACATATATCTATCTTTATCTTTACTTTCTAAGTGAATAAAGACAGATGTACATTTCAATCTCGCTTAAAACCAAAATGTTGGTGCAACCGGGCCTAAGACTTCTTCCTTGCTCTCTCTCCATCTCTCTCTCTCTCTCCCTCTCTTTCTCTCTCTCTCTTTCTTTTTCTCTCTCGAACGTCTCGATCAAGCTTACCCCGTCGTCTCGTCAGGATCGAGTGATGGAACTGAATTTAACGAGCGCAGCAATTAAATTAGATACAAAGAGCTCAGTACAGTGTGACCCAGATCGCGATTCCTCGTTCGGCGCTCCCGCGCGTCCAAGTAGCATCTGACTGGTTCAATCGATACCATTTGAGCGTCGTAAAAACCAACGGCTTATTCCTCACGGACACGTGATAACTATCGCCGTAATATAAACGGAAATGTCAGATCATCTGCCATTTTCTTCCGGGAGATCTGTCGCGTGCACACAGCGCGCCTATAAATGTTATCTTCTTCCTCTCTTTTGCTCGCGCTATTCCGTCCCTCCCCTCCCTTATTTCGCACGCAAATATTTCGTTACGGCGCGATAATGCATTATCTGGCCTGTATAAGGACTCGACTTTACGATACTGCCGTCACATTTTTACTCGTCGCCTGAATAATCGTCTCACTAATTTTTTACGAGTCTCGGTGGGTGGAAAGCTGGTTGAAATTATTAAACGACATCTACACGGCGAGGCGCACTAATATCGATAAATTCGAGCCGCGCGAGGGATGCCTGTATGGATGCGTGTTTGTGTGCGTGGGCGCGCGCCGCATTGTGATAATTAGTCAGCCAATGCAATAAATACAACGGAAACACGAGGCAGCTGTGAACGAGGCCGTTGAGGTTTATCGGTTATTGCACCGCGCCGTTACATCGTAACGCAATTTAAAAAAGAAAAAAAAGAGTATTAATTGAGAGAGCCCTTTTTATCCGAAAGCTTCTGCACGAGAGCGCTATTGAAATAATCTGAGTGGGTATTTTAAACGCGCGCGTAAAAAATACGAGTGCCCGCGCACGTGTCCGACCGCGATAACATTCATTTACTCGAAAATCGCTCGCGCAGCTCTGCATACTCCGTTTCAATCGCATAATTGCTAAAACATCAATTGCAATGAATTTTACCCCGCGGCAAAATCCACACAATTAAATTCGGCGTAAATCGATTTTATTGCCACGGACAATAGATAATCGGATGTACAGTCGCCGCGACGCATTCCCTGCTGTGCGTGTGCGGCTGTGGCGTTCCGAGTTCTTATCTATTCACGAAGATCGTCGCGTGTGTTTGTGCGAGAATAAACGTGCGGCGCGCACCACGACCCGACCGGAGTCGATTCATTGCGTAGAAAATCTCGTTGCGCACACGTTCCACCGCACAGATACGCCGAAATCATTTCCATATTCGCACGAGCGATTGATCATACGTGGGAACTCTGCTCTTCCAGAACGCGCTCGCCATCGCGCACTGCTCATAAATATATTTAATCAAAGAGTTGTATCGCGCGCGCGTTTCGATGGCTTTCCACGATACGTTCGCGATTCTGTTAACAATAATGAACACTGCCTTCGCGAGCAACGATATATCTGACGTTCCACAACAGTGCAAATTTATATTTTAATGATCATTATTGAAAATAAATGACGACAAATGTCAAATGTCATTGAGAGAACGCACTTTTCCGATGGGATAACACGTGGCAAGCAGTAGATAGATAAAAGGTTAATAATTCTATAGCATCCTGCGCTATCGAGATCGTAATCTCTTCAAGTGAATATCAGCTAAATGTTTCTGACTGAATCAGTAAAAGAACCATTTTACCGTATTTACTGATTCTCATAGTAGAAACACCTACTTTACTATTTCGTCTTACATCTCACTAATTTGGATTAATTCCTTGACTAACAAGCTGAATTTCACAAAAGTGCTCAAGCTGACAACAAAATTAAATAATTTTAAATTATAAGCATTTCAGTGAGAAGAAAGAGAGAATACACTAATTTTACTTTAGAGAGTACGATTCACACGGGGAGAAGTATATGGAAGCACGAAAATGTCGCATATCAATAGATGCAGACATGTATTCGTGCCAGCGACACGAAGGTCGCTGTAAACAGGGAAAATTCCGGCGTTACGTCGCGCTCGATTTTCGGTTTCGCGCGAAATAGCTGGGAATCCTTAGAATAAGACCTGCTCGCCGTGTAAGTGCGTCGGGTAGGAGCCGCGCAAACGGCTTCTCGTCGTTGCATTTTTCAAAGAGCGCGGAACGAACTTCACACCCGAACTCACCGTCTAACGTCGACGGTATCGGCGGTCTTATCAATAATAAATGTCGCTTTTATTACGCCCGAACGAACGCCTTCGAAGCTACGGCGATAAGGTCGCGCGCGCATACATCGTATGAGGCCAGTCCTGGAGGCTGTTACGGAAAAACGCGGACTATATCGTTGATTCTTTTATTTCCAGATGCGCCATCCGATCCAGATGAAGCCCGCCGACAGCGAGAACCGGAACGGTAAGTACAGATTTTAATTACTTTCGCGAAACACGCGCCGCACTCGGCTCGCGACCGACAGATCGGGGCTCAGACGAAAACAGAGAAACGTTCAGAAAGTTTGACCCGCCGCCAAGCGGCGGTATCGAACTTGTTCTACTTTTACGTAAAAAGACATACAATGTCTGTTATTGAAACGATATATTTCACGAAGGAGCGTTGAGAAATTACTGATAAGTTGCCTGAAAGTTACTGTTGCGATCGATCCGAATAAAGACACACGGTAGAAACCGTACACGGTTGTCTCATACATAAATCTGCTTGTGTCAACCAGATTCAATAGTAAAATACAGAATTATTAACTAATCATGTGGTTGCTGCAACCACAGAGCAATTGCTGAGTTGCAGTGACGGCATCTAGTTGCTCCACTCAGAGTGTATCCATAGTAAATGTCATCCCAACCGATTTCTGCTTGCCACAACTGGATCAACCTGAATTGATGTAGTCGATATACTAAAATAATTGAATCATATCAATCATGCAAAGGTAACTAGGATGATGCAACTGCGCTGCTCACAACTAAATATTTCTGCTTATGTGCACTATATCCCTTTTTTCCCTGTAGAGTATGCGTTCTAATTCCGCCGCGACAAAAGACAAGACTTCAAGTCTCGAGAGTGGAAAACGCAATTCGAGTTATTTTTTTTTAATGTTAAAAACACATTAAGCACGGATCTCGTTCGACCTCGGAGTTTTATAATGAACCCTTCCCGCGCAGCGTATAATAAGATCCCGGTTATAACAGCGGCTTTTTTAATGGTCGCTCGATCGTCTCGAGGCTCTGGCTCGATTAAGAATGGAATTCCGAGCAAAGTGGCATGACGGTATAACAACCAAAAGAGACGAGACAACAATACCACTCGCGAAGGTAAGGTTAACTCTCTCCGAGCGTCGCAACCTCGGCGGGGAATGCAGCTCAAAGCACGTTCATTAAGTGCTAATTAATTGGCTGAATTGAGGGGCTTGTCGAGATTGCGTAGTCAAAGAAGACATAATCGAGCTGCGAAGCACCGAGCGGTAGGTAGGTGTAGGTAGGACGGTGAAGGTCGGTCAGGAGAGTCGCAAGGATAGGTGAATTTCGCTGGCGCGACGCGCGGAACTGACTTGCCGGTTACCAGGACGACGGGGAAGCAACTTGCGCGCGCGCGAATCCTTACGCAACGCGTTTCCTCCGCTTTATCTTTCACGCTCCCCTCGAACACTTGCGACTCTCATCATCGAACCCTCCCCTCCCGGTCGTCGCGATATTATGCACACATGCGCCTGAGTGATACCGTGCAAATGTTCCAGATATTGTTCTGCGATCATTTAGATGACGCATTTCGATCCCGTTTTGACGCGTAAACGAAGGCCGCTAAATTAATCATACAATAACAATGGCTTTTCTTGAACGACTCTTCTTCGCGGAATTATTTTATGAGACGGAAATTTTCTTTCGGGGGAGACTACTATTAGCGAGAGGCCAAATAGGGAACGTCAAATAAATGAATAAATAATTCTGTAGTGATTATATATCCTCAATAAGGTTCGTGAAAAGTGTCAGAGCGCAATCTTGAAATAATTAAGAAACATCACCGTCCCCTTGTGCGTAAACGATGTCGTTCAGCCGATGAAAGGTTCCGTAGAGGATGTCGGATCCTCTAATATCTCCCAATGGCGCGTAGGCAATCGGAAAAGGGTCCCCGTGTAAAAATTCGGCTATGTCGAAAAGCGTATCGAATGGCACCGCGAAAACCAGCCGGGGGGAGTCAACGGACGCGGCAAAACGTGCGATTTTTTTACGGATAACTGCGCCGCGTTAGCAATAAAAATCCGACTACCGGCTGCACGGGGGTGTAACGTAGAGCGTATATAAAACCGGGCACGTCGGTGGGACGACGCAAAACGAATGCTAATGAAATATTAACGACACCCGTCACGTGCTCGCGCTCGGCTGGACTCCTCTTTCCTCACCCTCTTTCTGCGCTTCTTTCTCCCTCTCCCTCTCTCTCTCTCTCTCTCTCTCTCTCTCTCTCTCTCTCTCTCTCTCTCTCTCTGTCTGTCTGTCTGTCTGTCTGTCGCCCGCGCTCGCTTGCTCCTTTCCCACTTTACCCTTTCCAACCTTTTTCTCCCTTTTTACTCCTTTTTACTCGTCTCGATTTGTCCCCTTTTCTATTTCGTACGCGCGTAAGAATCCCCCGGAGGATGCTCGCGCGTCGCGGCCCGGTTTTTACTGTCAAAGTGCAGCAACGCACTGCCGTTTCGGGCGCCGCACTGACGGCGCTACGTGCAAATGACGTGCCAAATTGTAATCACGCCAAGATTCAAGCGGCTTTACACCTCGCGTTAAGCGCGCGCTAACCGAAACCTGATTCTGACACTTTGTTTGTTGCGGAGGGGGGCTCGGGCTCGCGCAGTTGCGCGAACAAGATCCTGGATCAAGTAACCGCGTTACACGGACCAACGCTCGATCCCGTTTAGCGCGGCAGTTAGGTATTAAACAGAAGTTACTTCGTTGGTTAACCATTCAATCGCGACTGCCTCGCAGTTGAACCCGCCTTAATTTTTCAATCGAGTTAGCGGCAGGCAACTCGCGTACGGCGGAGGAGCTAACGCGCGGGGAAGAAATCCAATTGCATCGCTAAGCGAAAGAATTCACAAACTGCGTTCGATGCGCTCTTCAGAGTGCGAAGAGAAGAGATGTCTTCCGGCAAAGATCCGGCGGAAACACTGTAATGAGATCTAAAATCGGACTATGACTCGACGCGAGAATTTCGACACGTGCAACCAACGTACTTTCACACTTTCTGTGTTCCAAATATTGTTAGACTTTTATTGAAAGTCTCCAAATATAACGGAGTGGCACTGACGCTGCAAGTTACATATTTAACGTGACTAGAACAAGCGTAAGAATTAAAGCTGTATGCTAAATAAACACGATAACGAAACATTTACTTCACAATACTGTGTGCGTAACGCTTAAAAGTGTAATGCAGCATAAAGATGAAATGAAAAATTCATGCGTGAATGTATGTCGCAATAATAGCCAGTAAATTAAAATGCTGCGAGCACGTACACCTTTTTTTGTCCCTTTCTTTTTATATTCAATTCGGAATAACTACACAATTTGAAATTTGCGCATGACTCAATCGTTCGCCGAGGTCGAGCGTGGCGAAGAGCGCAGGCAATTATAATAGGGTCGCCCTCGTTTTCGCCGGTAAACCTCTTTCTTCCCGGTAAACTACGAAATCCCGTCTTATTCGGAGCGGCGAGGCGGAGCAGACGGAACTGGGGTAGAAGTGCATAGCGCGTCCGGGGGTTGTAGATAAAAATGAATAGACACGACGTGGTGTAACCGAAACCGAGATCAGGCTATTCGTAACCGCGCGCACGTGCAATCCGGAAAAGGATTTTTCCATATAGGATGCGGACGTGCGCGCCGCGACCGCCATGAATAGTGCCGTTGTGGCTACATGCAAATCCCAGTAAAACGGGAAAATAGTAAACAAGAAGGGAGCGTGTGTGCGCGCTCACTCGCTCGCTCTTCTCCGCAGCCGCGTTATCCGGTATCAGAGTATTATAGTTGCTTTTGTCGTTAGGCGAATCTCGTGAACGCAGCGCCGCAACTGACGTAAGCCGAATTCGGATAAAGCAACTACGGGCTCACGTGCGAGAAGCGCGAGATTAGTCAAACGTGAAACTTACTTACCCTCCTCCTCGTCCTCCCTGAGAACACGTAGACGTATTTCGCGGGTGTAGTACGTGTATGTGTGTACGTGTGCCCGTATAATCAGATCTCGTATAACAAAATGGCTTCACTGTGTATCAGTGATATTTACGAAGATCAATGTGCGCGGATCAAGAATCACTGCTATTCATCGATCATCTGGGAACTGATCCCATTTGTGCCAAATCTGCTTCAAGTTACTTCCAATATTTCGCTAGATACTAAAAGATTTCAATTTCTCTCGTATGATTGCTCGAGAGCTAACCGCGCGCGGACTTCTTGCACGAATTAATAAACTAGAAGGAACGGGACGATAAGTTTTGCCGGCAGCAAAACAGTTATTCTTTCTCGGCGAAAGTTTCTTCTGCTCAATCGACACGGCCGCTCGAGCAGAACATTGTTCCGCGAGACAACGACTTCCAAGCGGGATAATCGAGACGCGCGCGGACTCTTCTCTCCATTTGCCCATTCGATCATTCGACACTGAATGGATGGCGGACTTCATCTCTCGTCCTATAATTACTTCAGTCAATGACGTAGCGGCGGGCGGACGGTTTTAGCAGCGTTTCCGACGGGATGCACGCCGATGGATCAAGGAGCCTCTGTCACGGCGTCGGGCACGTCAGCCCTACGAAAAGAAGAAGCAACGAAGAGAGTGAAAGCTTTATTTATATCCGTGACATTCTGTTTATTTTGGCTGACAGACCCGGGGCTCGCCCCCAGGCTCTAGCGAGTAACGACACGGCAACCCTGATCGCTTACCCGGCGAGTTCCATCCTGTCCCCGGTCTCCGACATTGTCTCAACCCAGTTACGTCGCGCCTTGACGGACGTGAGAGAGTCTGGAGTTAAATTAGTTGTCGATTTCTTCGTGGAAACGATTATACCACGCTAACAATTGCGCGCGCGCGCGCATTCGCTGAAGAGAAATTATTGTCAACCCATCCGCAACTATCTCTTCTTTAAAACCCTCCAATCTATCTCGGACCTGACGCAAACGGATACGCGCCCTATCTGGTCGATTTACTATCGATTATCAGAAAAAAAATTGTTCTCGTTTGGTCGCAGTTATGCGAAATGTATCCTAACGAATATTCTAACAAAGGGAGTAATTCCGATGAATGACTTATGTTTTCTCGGTTTCGAATTCAATGTTTCGAAATGTGATCGCGACGACGAACATGTCTGCTATATTATATTCTATTTGGAACCCTTGCGTGCATGTATATGTGTATGTGTTTTGACCGGCGCTCTC